TATGCAGGGGGAGGGCACAGGACTGGCCCTGCTCTGCTGCCTCCTTTGTCCCATAACCTGAAGTTAAGTCATATCCCCTGTCGGGACTTTCGTGCACTCATCTCTGTCAAGTGGGGATACCTCCCTTCCAGCATCACCTGCATTAGACGGGCTGTCAGGAGTCATGGGTTCCAGGCAGCTGTGTGGACCCAGGGACAGACACTCAAAGGGACACCAGCCATCCGTGGTGACAGAGTCCCCAACTTAGCATCCCTTCCCTTCCTTACGAAGGAGATGACCAGAGACAACCCCTTCACAGACACGAGCACATCGGCAAACCCTATGAGAGTGGAATTTTCTAACAAAATAAACTTGCTTGTTTGATCTGTTTTCTGTAACTTTTGCTAAATACTTTATACATTTTTCATGTTAAAGAGCTGTGTCTCCCGCCAGCACTTCTCACCCCGGTATGAATGTGTGTCCTCCACATTGTATATCCTTCCACCCTCTGGCTGCCTAGATCAGTAAATAAAATCGATGTAATATAATTTATAAGTAACACTGTTGAAACCCCGATCCCAGTGAAGGCTGTAACCCACCTGCCCCCGCCCCCCCTCCAACCCGTTATCGCATTTGTGTGTATTAACGCTGAAGAATTAAATGTTTAAAGAGTTTAAATTTTGAAGGCGTTTGCTATATACAGTTGTCCTGCATTATTATAAAGAGTTTTCAGGAAGTTAAATCCCATCTCATTTTTTCTTCTTTGGCTCCGTGTGTATCCTCGAGATGCTTAGATTCATCCCATGTAAAATAAACTGTCCAGAGATACTGGGTCCCCCTAGGCGACCCACTTTCCTGGAGGGCTGCCACATTCTTCATGTGACCTGTCTTGGCATTCCTCCCAGGCTCTTGAGATTGGTGGTGATTTCACCTCCGATGACTTAGTGGGAGACAAAGGGCATCTGGATACTGGCGCCCAAATGGACGCTATGCTTCTGGCCTCAGGCCCCTCCCCCTGGTGACTTCCTGTCTCTGTGGGTTCCAGCCCTCTGCTTCCCTCCCGTCTCTAGAGCTCCTGGCTGTTTCTTTTCTCATCCATCCATCCTATTTTTCTTTTCTTTTTTTTTTTTTTTTTGGAGACAGAGTCTCGCTCTATCACCCAGGCTGGAGTGCAGTGGCAAGATCTCAGCTCACTGCAACCTCTGCCTCCCAGGTTCAAGTGATTCTCCTGCCTCAGCCTCCTGAGTAGCTGGGACTACAGGCATACACCACCATGACCAACTAATTTTTATATTTTTTGTAGAGAGGGTTTCACCATGTTGGCCAGGCTGGTCTCAAACTTCTGACCTTAGGTGAGCCGTCCGCCTAGTCCTCCCAAAGTCTTGGGATTATAGGCGTGAGCCACCAAGTCCAGCCCATCCATTTATTCATTCAATAATTACTGAACATCTGGTATATACCAGACACTGCTCTAGGTCCTGGGAACACATCAGGGAGAGCCCTGCTCTCAGGGAGCTTACATTCTAGCAGATAATAGACCTACTACGTTCTGTGATGTGGGTGTGGACGGCGTTAAGTGTTGTGGAAAAGAAAAACAGGACAGGGTGAGGGTGGGTATGTTGCAGTATTCAATAGGGTCATTTGAGTGGCCTCATTGAGAAGGTGGTATTTGATCAAAGGCAAGGAGACCTGGGAGGGACCCTAGAAGGTCACCGGAGGAGAATGTTCCAAGCAGAAGAGATGCTCATGTATCTGAGGCCAGCCTGGCTGGATTGGAGGGAGTGAGGAGGGAAGAGCAGATGAGGAATGTGGAGGGCTGCCATGTTCTTCGAACGACCGTCTCAGTGTTCCCCCCAGGCTCTTGGGATTGGTGATGATTTTACCTCTGATGACTTAGCAGAGAGACAAAGGGCACCCGCCCCTTTTCGTCCCTTCTTGGGGGTACCAAAGGGCACCTGCAAGAAATGGTGGGATGAGGGCCAGTGCTGCCTGTTGCAGGCTTTTGGCTTTGATGGGGAGAAGTGGGCAGCCATCGTGCATGACCTGATTTCATGGCTGTGGGGCTCACTGCAGGGCTGTAAGGGGACAAGAGCAGAAGCAGGAAGAGCTATTAGGAGGCAGAGGTGATGCTGCCTGCATGAGGCAGGTGCAAGGGAGGCAAGAAGAATGGTCTGGTTCTGGCTGTACCTTGAAGGTAGAGTCAAGATAATTTCTTGATAGATTGGAGAGGGTTGTGACTGAAAGAGAAACACTGAGAATGACTCCAAGAACCTCAATCCAAGTCATCAAAAGGATGGATTGTCATTTTCTGCAATGGGGACAGCTGTGGGAGGAGGGTCCTTCCCCATTCTCTGTCTCCCCCGCCACCTTCTCCATACCCCCTTTTCCCTCTCAATGCAGACTTCTCTGCAGGTGCTGGCTCCAGGCCAGAGGGCAGGAGGGTCGTCTTGGCCTTCAGCTCATAAAAGGCAAGGTCGAGCAATGGGGAAAGGGTGGGGTCTGGGTCCCAGCTAACAGCCGAGATAGAGCTCCTGCTTGAGGGGACAGGGCCGGCTTCTGGGAAGCATCTTTCAGTGCAGCGAAGAGAGCGAGATGCAAACTGGAATCCTCTGCCTGGAGATGAAGCCTTCTCTAGAGAAGACTTTGGGGTTTGGGAGAGCTTATGGCCCCAGCTCAGACTTAACAAATCGTCTCACAATACATCATGTCCAACAGCTTGTTTGGCTAAGGAGCATAAGCCCTCCCTCTGATAGAAGATGTTTATGCAGGTTTTCAAACAAACCTCCAGGTCATGACCCCTTGCTCTGAGCATCAACACAGCTGCTTGCGATCCCCTGAGGCCCCTCCTGGGCACAGCAACCTGGAGAATGTGGACTGTACCAGGCTGCTTCCGACCTGGGTCCAGCTCCTTCCTCCTTGTGCCTGGAGAGGACAGCAAAGACTGGAGGGCTCTGGCTGCCTTCTGCCTCGCCCAGGGCCTCTTTCATTGCCATGGCAACCCCACATCCTCACCTACTTGTCCTCTAGGCTCAGGCCTCCTGTAATGTAGACAAAGGAAGCCTAAACGAAGAGCCTGGCAGACCTGGACTTCCTTCCTCCTGGCATTGCCATTTAGCAACCATGTGACCCCAGGCTGGCGACGTGCCTTTGGGAGGCCCCACGTCTCACCTGTAACACTGGCCTCGCCTCATCTGCTGCAGGCTTGATGTGGACAGGGGTGTGATCCAGGAGGCACTTCTAGTCACCTCCTACTAGTGGCTCAGAGCAAGGGGCCGAGGCCTCTGACCTCACTCTCCCTCCATCCCCAGGGCTGCCTCAGGGCTGCAAGAAAGCTCTGGACGAGAATGCGATTCCAAGGTGTGGCTTGGGCTTGCTTGGTTCGTTCGTTTGTTGGAAGGCTGGTGACTGTCCTGTTTCTAACTGCTCTTGAGAATAAATGCACACTACAGGATGGTGAAAGCCTAGATACTCTTATTCAGAAGTAATATTATCACCGGGCGCGGTGCCTCACGCCTGTAATCCCAGCACTTTGGGAGGCCGAGGCGGGCAGATCATGAGGTCAGGAGATCGAGACCAGCCTGACCAACATGGTGAAATCCCATCTCTGCTAAAAATACAAAAATTAGCCGGGCGTGGTGTTGCGTGCCTGTAATCCCAGCTACTCAGGAGATTGAGGCAGGAGAATCGCTTGAACCTGGGAGGTGGAGGTTGCAGTGAGCCGAGATCGTGCCACTGCACTCCAGCCTGGGCAACAGAACGAGGCTCTGTCTCAAAAAACAAAACAAAACAAAACAAAAAGCAAAACACCAAAAACCTCACAAAGTGATGGGAAAAAATTTGAAAGTTCACACACACACCCCAGCATGCAGGTTTCCTGAGATGTCTCTGAAACTGTCGTGTGCAGAGTGGCTGGAAGAGATGAGTCTGCCCCTCGGTGCCTGAACCTCTCGCTCCTTCCAGAGTGATATCAGGTGGGCCTGGCCGGTGGCTTTCTCCCAGCAGCAGGGACCTACCTTCCGCTGCCACTAGCCTGTTAGTAAGTAGGCTAAAATCCCTACTTTACACTTTGAGATGCAAGGCAGGCGGATCACCGGAGGTCAGGAGTTTGTGAGACCAGCCTGACCAATATGGGGAAACCTCAATTCTACTAAAAATACAAAAAAAAAAAAAAAATTAGCTGGGCCTAGTGGCAGACACCTGTAGTCCCAGATTCTCAGGGGACTGAGACAGGAGAATTGCTTGAAACCAAGAGGCGGAGGTTGCAGTGAGCCAAGAGTGCGCAACTGTACTCCAGCCTGGGCAACAGAGAGAGACTGTCTAAAAAAAAAAAACCACTTTACCTGTCTGGAGACTGTGGGGTTTATTCTTCATACTTCGTACCCCAGGGCAAAAAACGACAACTCTGCATCCACGGCGGCAAGGCTGGGGTTCTGAGTGTGTCCCCTCGAGCACTGCGCGCCGCTAAGGAAAGTGCACGCCCACCCTCCCTTCCCTCTGGGTGACAAGAATCCAGGTGTGCAGCGTCCTCACTAGGGTGCTTCCTCATGCTTGATACTCCCCGCTGCGGTGCAGGGACGCGCAGCCCACCTTTGCACAGCTCCCTGTCTCTGATCACTCAGTTATTTACCCATTCACTCAGCAAACACGTTTTCTTGCCTGCTCACTCCAAGTCCGCTGCAGATGGACACCCTGCTGCCTGCCATGGAGCCGCAGATAGATTTTGTTTGGCCCACACCATGTTTTGTGATTTTGTTTTTGTTTCTGTTTTTGTGTTGTTCTTTTGTTTTTTTGAGACGGAGTCTTGCACTGTCGCCCAGGCTGGAGTGCAAGAGTGCGATCTCGGCTCACTGCAACCTCCGCCTCCCAGGTTCAAGCGATTTTCCTGCCTCAGCCTCCCAAGTAGCCAGGATGACAGGCACCCGCCACCACGCCCCACTAATTTTTTGTATTTTTAGTAGAGACAGGGTTTCACCATGTTGGCCAGACTGGTCTCGAACTCCTGACCTAGTGATCCACCCTGCTCGGTCTCCCAAAGTGCTGGGATTGCCGGCGTGAGCCATCGCACCCAGCCGTGTTTTTTTAAATTTCAAATTAATTGCCAAAGTTGAAAAGTGTGGAAATTGCATCGAAAATTCTGATTTCTAGATTTCTCTTGACTAATTAACAAAAAAACCTCACGTTCCCATGTGACCACGTTCGCTGGCAGCCCCTTCCCGAGGTGACACAGGCCTGGCTGCCCCCTGTTGGTCCCTGCAGGCAGTTCACCTTCACTCCCTGTGACTGATGGGCAATAACAAAATGAGTGTTTAGCATTAGCCGTGTGCCAGGTTCTAAGTGTGTCACACATACTGACTCACATCAGCCTCACAATGACAGTGTGGTAGATGCTATGATGCCCATTTATTCAAGAAAAGCTTAATGGGGGCCCAAGCCTATCAGGTTCTGGAAATGGAAATGCATCTGGGAACAACACAGACAAAATCCTGTCCTTCCTGGAGCTTTCATTCCGGTGAGGGGACATGGGGCGTGCCGAAGACGGTGGGGGGTGTGCTATTATAGATAGACGGTCCGTATAGGCCTGGCTGAGCAGGTGACATTTAAGCGGAGACGTGACTGCAGTGAAGGGTTAGAAGAGTGTCCCAGGTGGAAAGAGGTGAAGAAACATGCCTGGGGCCACACAGCTAGTTAAGTAGCCAAGCTGGGACTTGAACCCATGCTGGCCCCAGAGCCTGTGCTCCTAACCACTGCATTCTAGGGCTTGATGTGAGTTGCCAGCCCTGCCCTGAGATGCTCAGAGTTAGTGAGGAAGAGAAATAGGGAACGTGGCTGCTGTTAGAGGGCTGGGGCTGGGGGTGCAGGAGGCCCCAGCTCTGAAGGTTCCAACTTCCTGTCCTATTCTAGTCTCCTCGCAGGAGGCCGAGATGAATTGCCTGCCTGCCCTGGGCTCCTTATTTTAATCTCAGTAGGGTTCTGGGAGCACCCACCCACCTCCACAAAGCTCCTGGGCCCCTCCTCCCTTCAAGGATTGCGAAGAACTGGTCGCAAATCCTCCTAAGCCACCAGTATCTCCATCTTCAGCTCACACCAGCCCTGAGCGCCAGCCTGCGGCCAGGGGACCACGCACGTCCCACCCACCCAGCGACTCCGCAGCCGCTGCCCACTCTTCCTCACCCATGGGGAACAGCAAAAGTGGGGCCCTGTCCAAGGAGATCCTGGAGGAGCTGCAGCTGAACACCAAGTTCTCAGAGGAGGAGCTGTCCTCCTGGTACCAGTCCTTCCTGAAGGACTGCCCCAGCGGCCGCATCACCCAGCAGCAGTTCCAGAGCATCTACGCCAAGTTCTTCCCTGACACCGACCCCAAGGCCTATGCCCAGCATGTGTTCCGCAGCTTCGATTCCAACCTCGACGGCACCCTGGACTTCAAGGAGTACGTCATCGCCCTGCATATGACCACCGCGGGCAAGACCAACCAGAAGCTGGAGTGGGCCTTCTCCCTCTACGACGTGGACGGTAACGGGACCATCAGCAAGAATGAAGTGCTGGAGATCGTCATGGTCAGTCTCCCCTCTCCCCTTCTGGCTGGGCGGCGCCGGGGTCACTTGGGGCTGGGGTTCCCTTGCTGCAGAGTGAGTGGAACTGTGGGTGGAGCGGGGGATTCAGGCCACTGGCTCTGAGAGCCTGGTGCTCCAAGAGGCTGATATTGATAGACGAGTGGGCACTTACCCACAGCTTCGTTGTCCTCCTGAAGCAGAATCTGAATGTTTCTTAATACATCCATGTTATGCTTTGCTTCACGATGTTTGGGTCATCTATGGACCATATATACCACTGTGGTCCCATAAGCTTGTAATGGAGCTGAAAAATTCCTATTGCCTAATGATGTCATAGCACAGTTACTTTATTTTTTAAATGCATTTAGTGTAGTCTAAGTGTATCTATAAAGTCTGCGGTAGTGTACGGTAATGTCCTAGTTCTTCACATTCACTCGCTACTCGCTTACTGACTCACCCAGAGCAACTCCCAATCCTGCAAGCTCCACTCATGGTAAGTGCCCTAGACAGCTCTACCATTTTGTATCTTGGTGTTTGGTTGTTGTTGTTGTTTTGTTTTTGTTGTTGTTGTTTTTTGAGATGGAGTCTCATTCTGTAGCCCAGAGCTGGAGTGCAATGGTGCAATCTTGGCTCACTGCAACCTCTGCCTCCCGGGTTCAAGCAATTCTCCTGCCTCAGCCTTCCGAGTAGCTGGGATTACAGGCACACACCACCACGCCCGGCTAATTTGTGTATTTTTAGTAGAGACGGGGTTTCACCATGTTGGTCAGGCTGGTCTCGAACTCCTGACCTCAGGCAATCCACCCACCTCAGCCTCCCAAAGTGCTGGGATTTACAGGCATGAGCCACAGTGCCTGGCCCATTTTTTATCTTTATGCTGTATTTTTACCACATGTTTAGCTATGTTTAGATGTGCAGATACTTACCATCGTGTGACAACTGCCTGCAGCACTCAGGACAGTCATATGCTGCACAGGTTTGTAGCACAGGAGCAAAAGGCTGGACCACGGAGCCCAGGGATGTAGTAGGCTCTACCATCTGGGTTTGTGCGAGGACCGTCTATGACGTTCCCACATGGAAATTGCCTAAAGATGTGTTTCTCGGAATGTATTCCTGTCTCTGAGCAACACGTGACTATATTTACATTTTTTCTTCTCTTCCATCCTTTGTTTCTTCCTTCCTTTATTAAAATATCACTTTGCAGCGCCTAGCCAAGCCTGTAATGCCAGCCTTGACCGAGATGGCGGATCACCAAGTCGAAGGTGCCCGACGCCCAATCCGCGTTAAAAAACAACTGTAACCCCGTCTCTACTAAAAAATACAAAAAAAAAAACTAGCAGGCGTGGTGCGCGCTGTAGTCCCAGTACTCAGAGCTTGAGGCAGGAGAATGGTGTGAAAACCCGGAGGCGAGCTTGCAGTGAGCTGAGGAGTCTGGCCGTGCACTCCAGCTGGGTGACACAGCGGACTCCGTCTCAAAAACAAGAAACACAAACAAAACAAAACAAAAAAACAAAATACCCTTTGAAATTTTCGGCAGTACACATTCAACTTGAATCGCTATTCATTCTAAACACACTATGCTTCAAATATAAAGTAGAAAGAGGTCACAGTTGGGGGCATGAATTCTGAGTTCTAGTTCTCATGTTGTCCCCAGCGTGGGGCGGATCGCCTGTACCACCCTTGAGCCCGCACTTGCCATGCACGGCGTGGCTCCCCAGCTCCTGACAGATTCCCTGTGAGGCGTACACGCTTCCACATGGTTCCCAACACACCTTCTCCCCCGTCCATACTGTCCTCGTGTCAGATCCTTTGTTGTGAAAGTAATGGCAAAAACCACAATTACTTTTCCACCAACCTCGTAGGTGTCTTGAAAATGTTTTATCTAATGCATAAGTAACTCGTGAAATTTAGAAACCTAGGCAAAAGAGATTAAAAATTGCCTCATCCAAGGAAAACTTTTCTTAGTATATCGGTATATACCTTTTCAGTGTTTTACGTATATAATTTTAAACAATGTTAAAGCTATGACATACGTACGATTATCATACATTTTTCAGTTACTCTTTTATCATGAGTGCTTTCCATATCATTACATATTCTTCCAAAACAGTTTTTTGTTGTTGTTGTTCAGATAGAGTTTTACTCTTGTCGCCCAGGCGGGAGTGCAGTGGCGTGATCTCAGCTCACTGCCACTTCTACCTCCCAGGTTTGAGCAGTTCTCCTGCCTTATCCTCGCAGGTAGCTGGGATTACAGGCACCCGCCACCACGCCCAGCTAATTTTCGTCTTTTAGTAGAGACAGGGTTTCGCCATGCTGGCCAGGCTGGTCTCGAACTCCTGACCTCAGGTGATCTGCCCACCTCGGCCTCCCAAAGTGCTGGGATTACAGGCGTGAGCTTCTGCACCCAATCTCTTCCAGACCGCTTTTAATAGCTGCTTGGAATTCTGGCTTATGGAAATGTGGAAATCATTGAACATTCCTATGTTTTTGGACATTAGGTTGTTTCCATTTCTCTCCTATTATACCAGTTCTAATTTCCTTCATTTGATTTTTTTTTTTTTTTACTTTTTCAATCCCCCTGCCCCTGCCACTTGCTTTATTATTCTAATTCCATTCCTGTTAGTAGAGACTGTTGTTCAGATGTTATGCATTTGTAATCATGCCTTCATTTGCATGATTACAAATGCACAAGAATTTTCCACCCTTATTAGCAGAAACCATAAATAAAACAGCACAGCGTGCAGCTTGTGGTCCATGGGCTTATCCTCAGTGCTCAGCTCAGGCCTCCCGTTCCGGCAGGCGTGTGTCTCCCTCATTGTTATCTTGGCACAGCCTGCAGAGAAAGCTCCCTAGAATTGGCTGTGGGGTCTCTGGCCTGGGACAGGGACTACGTCTTCAGAGCCACATAAACAATGTGGGACCCAGCAGAAGCCTACAAATGGATACTCCTTGAAGAAAAGTAGGAGGAAAGGGAGGAGGGGGAAATGAGGGAGGGAGAGAGAGAAGGTGGAAGTCAGGAAGGAAGCAAGGGGAAGGAAAGAAGGAAGGAAAGGAGGAGAGAAAGGAAGAAAGGAAAGGGAGGAAGGGAGAGGCCATCAATGGCTGGGGCTGTACAAGGTGGCAGAAGGCTCTACTGTTCACCAGGTTACAAGTTCATGGGCAGAGCACTGACTGGGGGAGTCACAAGTGAAGCGTTCTAGTCCCAGCTCTGACTCCAACTAGCGGTGTTGCTGTGGGAAAACCATTTTACCTTCCTGGGCCCAGGGTGAGGATTTGATTATTTTTGCAGCCTTTCCCGAGGCCCTGAAGGTCTGTCCCTCTGTGTTGGAAGTGGGGTGGGCAGGCAGTCACTCCCAGCTTCTGGCTGGCACACCTATACATGGTACCCAAGGCCCTGCACAGATGGATAGGAGTGTAGGAACCACCTACACTCGCGTCCAGCTCAGAGCTCTGAGTGCTGCCAGTGAGGCCGCTGCCCTGGGCTGCTGGCTTTGGTCTCCTTGCTCCTTTTTCCAGCACTAGGAGGCTGAAGGGGAACTTCTCAAAGCTATCGACCTTCCCTCCAGGATAATTTCACAGCCATTATTGCCCCTGCCTGCCCTGCTCACAAGTGTCTCCAGGGAGGCAGAAGGCTCTGGCCAGAGCCAGTAACCTCCCAACTGCCACCCAACATACCTGCCTGCCCTCAGCATCCAAGGACCTACAACCTTGGGTGTCCCTTCAGGACCCAGCTGGCGCTGGTGTTCCTGAGCCAGTGGAATCCTGGAAACTTGGAGCTGGAAGGGTGCATGGAGCCCCCTTGTCCCTTTCCCTGATCTCACAGGTCTGGGGGCACTTCATGCTTTCCCTACATTGCATAACCAACTGCTTTATTAGAGGGGAGGGAGGTGAGAAGGATGGGATCCTTGAGCCCAAAGCTAAGCCTTTCGCTGAATCCGTCCTTGAGCAGAAGGTTAAATGAGGGTCTTGCTGTACCATGGGAAGACCTCTGAAAAGTTCTTGTTGATGCCTCTCCCTCCCCCCACCAGCCTTGCCCAACGCTCTCCAAGACCTTCCAGTGATAAGGAGGTGAGTGGGCTATAGCATAACACAAGAATACCAATTCTAGAATCAAAATGCCTGGATTCAAATCTCCACTCTTCTCCTTCTAGCTGGGTGACTTCCAGCAAGTTAGTTGTCTCAGTTTTTTCATCCATAAAATGGGGCCAATCATACCTTCTTCATACGGTTATTGTGAAGACTAGGTGCAAAAAATGTTTAGAAAAGTGACACCTAGGCCAGGCAGTAATCCCAGCACTTTGTGGGGCCAAGGTGAAAGGATTGCTTGAGCTCAGGAGTTTGAGACCAGTCTGGGCAACATAGTGAGACCCTGTCTCTACAAAAAATTCAAAGGAACTTGCTGAGCATGGTGGTGCGCACCATAGTCCCAGCTACTCAGGAGGCCGAAGTGGGAGGATTGCTTGAGCCCAGCATGTTGAGGCTGCAGTGAGCCATGATTGCACCACTGCACTCTAGCCTGGGTGACAGAGCAAGACCCCGTCTGGAAAAAGAAAAAAGAAGAAAAGAGAGTGACACCTATTAAGTACCCAACAAATGTTAGCCGTTATTGCCATAAGTCAGTCTTACTGAGCAACTGAGGTACAGTATGAATCCAGAGGAAGAGGTTTACTCTTCTAAAACCTCTAGGCAGTAGGGTCTGAGGTAGTGATTCCCAAACTCCAACCTCAGGACTGCCGTCATATTTGCATCAGGAAGCTTTTTCTTTCTTATTTTCATTTTTTTAAATAAGTGAAGTTAATATGTTTACATAGTTAGAAAATCACAGTACAGAAAGGTACAAAATAAGAAGCGAAAGGCTTCTTTGTCTCTTTCCTGAATTCCCTGTCCCTTATGAGGGCCTCAAAAATACAGATGCCCAGGTCCTACGCCCAGGAATTTTGATTCAGTAGATCAGGTGGGGGCCTGTACATCTGTATTATAACTGCTATCTGCTCCCACGGGCTGGTCGGGCACTGAGAGAGGGACATCGTGATGGAGGTGACCCAAAGTCCCTTGATGTGTCTTCCATAATATTTGTACCATTTTACATTTCCAGGCCAACAGTGGACCAGGGTTTCTTGTCACACATCTTGCCAAGCTGTTATTTCTTGTCTTTTTTATTACAGCCATTTCAAAAGGCGTGAGGGATAATCTCATGTGTATTGATTTATGTTTCCCTGGTGATCAGTGATGGATTTCTTGAACTTGCTGGCAACCTTGTACGTCTTCTTGGAGAAATGTTGTTTGGTCCTTTGCCCATTTTTCTTCTTTTTTTTTTTTTTTTTAATCGATGGTTTTTTTAGATAGAGTTTTTGCTCGTTGTCACCCAGGCTGGAGTGGCCAATGCTATGATCTGGCGTTCACTGTAACCTCGTTTGCTCCCAGGTCAAGCAATCTCCTGCCTCAGACTCTCCGGACGGTTAGCTGGGATTACAGGCTGCACCACCTACACCTCACGCTAATTTTTGGTGTCTTTTAATAAAGACGGGAGGGTTTCACCCATGTTGGCCAGGCTGGTCTTAGAACTCCTTAGCTAGGTGATCCACCCGCCGCGCTTCCCAAAGTGCTGGGATTTACAGGCGTGAGACCGTGCCTAAGCCTTCTTTGCGCCATTTTTCAATGGTGTTATTTTTGTTCTTTTGCTATTGAGTTGTAAGATGTTCCTTAATATATTTCATTCTACAGATGTTGTATATTATTAATAGGAGAGACAGGGTTTTGCTCTGTCACAGTGGCTAGGTTCAACTGGTGCAAAAATGGCTCACTGCAGCCTGAAAGCTCCTGGCTCAGGCATCCTCATCCTCCGTGTAGGCTGGACTGTAGGGCGATGCCACACTCTGTTAATTATTTTCTACCTTAATAGAGATGAGTCTCACATTTGTTGCCAGGCTGGTCTCAAAATTCCTACCTCAGTGTCTCCTGCCTCGTCCTTCCCAAGCGCTGGGATGACAGACATGAGCCACCGCACCTGGCCCCTTATGTATTTTTGATATTAACCCCTTATAAGATACCTGGTTTGCAAATGTTTTCCCCCATTCCATAAGTTACCTTTTGATTTTGTTCATTGTTTCCTCTGACGTGGAGAAGCTCTTTAGTGTGATGTCATCCCACTTGTTCATTTTGGTTTATGTTGCCAGCACTTTTGGTGTCATATCCAAAAAAGTATCATCAAGACCAGCATCAAGAAGCTTTTCCCCTGTTTTCCTCTAGCAGTTTGACAGTCTGAGGTCTTATGTTTAAGTCTTTAATCCATTTTGAGTAGATTTTTGTGTACAGTGTAAGATGTGGATTTTCCGGGGTTGCCAACCCCTTAAAGTTCCTCCTAACGAGTTCTTTCTTTCTGTTTGGTACAGGCTATTTTCAAAATGATCACTCCCGAGGACGTGAAGCTCCTTCCAGAGGATGAAAACACGCCGGAAAAGCGAGCTGAGAAGATCTGGAAGTACTTCGGAAAGAGTGATGATGGTGAATTCCTTTTCCTTCATTGCCTTTGATTTTTCAACCATGGGCTATTCGCTGGGAACCCCAGCAAGATTTATTCTTCTGAGTCACAGTATCCAGGCAGGACGGGGACACCTCATTCCACTGTATATTTTTAGAACTGTCTGAAGGGTTCGACAGGGGAATGGCCTTAAGGGTGAGCAGGAGCCAAAACTGTTTTCTGTACAATTAGAACAAGAGCAAACTTCAGCTCACCTTACCTTTGAATTAATTTCAAGTCCCAAGTCAGTGGGATCTAAATTGCTATGGTTTTACTTTGGGAAGTTGGTTTGGGTCCTCTGAGAAATACCACCAAGATAGGATTAGATTTAAATGAGATTGCAAGAGATTTGTGGGAGGAAAGGCTGATGAAGGAAAACAGGCAGGGATCGAGAGAAGGCTGGGAAAGCCATCAGACTGCCAAGAAGATCTGACCCCTGGCAGGGATAGAGGGGAAGGAAGGAGGGTTAGGAAAGAAAGGAAGGTTAGGTAAGTAATGCCCGAGACAGTGCATTCTGAGGAAGTGTTGACAGAGTCGATGGGGTGTCCTCGGTGCCCCTGTCAGTCTTGGTGCTCCTGCCCTGTCAGTCAGTGGCAGGAAGCAGTCCTCAGGAAGCATGATCCTGCATTGTAGGCAGTGATGGACTCCAGCCCTCGGCTGCTGGGGCTGTGTGTCTGTGATGCTTATGGCCAACACAAGAAGGATGCGGTAAAGGAGCTGGTATTAGGCTGGGGCTGCAAACACATGTGGCTGGAGGGGCAGGAATGATGAAAACAAGTCATGTGGACAGTAATCTATAAGCAGTGCGGATTGGCAAACAGCACAGGGTGCACCTCGGGTCTGATGGCTTCCAGCATATTCCATGTGGGAATATGGAACCCATGGTTGAGACATCATCTGATTTTTTTTTTTTAAGAGAAGCCAGCCACGGAGATTTTAAAAATGCAGTGTGTCTCAATTGATAAAACACAGCGTGGCCCAAACACATCCAAGGGTCCTGTGTTAACCCCTTTGGTGACCTCTGGAGGCAGTCTCCTACCAGGGTCAGGAATAAAAACCTGAGCAGGATGCTAAATAAGGGCAGAGATAAATGATCCTGCCCCTTAATCTGCCAACAAATGATGAAATAAGAGAAGCACGAAGGTCATTGGGGTAGGAGGGACGTAGGACACAGAATTTAAGGAGGTGCTCGTTCTCAGGGTCAACAATGCACTCACAGGACCTGAAAGTGAGTGCCTCCTTAAATTCAGGCCTTGGTACTTTACCCACCTCTCCTTTGAGCACTTTCTCCTCCTTGCACAGACATTGGCTGCCAAGATGCCTTCTTTCGGCACTTCGCCCACTGGCTCCTCGATTGGCTTCCTGACCTCCCTCTGGGTCTGTTCATGTGTCGAGCCCTGTGTTCTGCTCCTGGGGTGTTCACTGGAAACCGCCCCAGTGAACACCCCAGGAGGGCATGATGTCAGAGGCTGACGTGTTACTCCTGTTCATGACATGCTCTACGTGTTTCCACATGGCCCATCGGGAGACAATGCCTCACGGCAGAGTCAGGCTTTGATAGTGGGAGTTTCAAGCTCTCTGTGGGGTGGCTGGGATGTGAAAACCCAAGACTTGTACAGGAAGCCATCCTGGATCCTAACCCAGAAGGGATTAAGGGTATCCAAAAACGCCCAGAGCATAAGTCAGAAATCACATCCAGTTCAGCAAAGCTTTGTTGAGCAAGGACTCTGTGCTAGGCACTGTGAACATACAACAGAAAGGAGCATCTGTCTCACGCAAGAGGTATTTCTGTGTGTGACTGCCTTCTCCGCCAGATCAACAGTTTCCCAGGGAGGGACTAGATCAACAGTTTCCCAGGGAGGGACTTCATCTCACGCTCTTCTATTGTACACCCCACCTCCGCTCCCTGCAGGGACCTTGGCTCCAAGCACAGTAGCATCTAGGCTCAGGACCATGCATTTAACTGGACTGATCTGAATACAGTAAACCACCTGATAAAAACACCAGAAAACTGGGTGTGGCTGCAACAAGGCTATCTCAGTCCTGATCCCAAATAAGGAGGCAGATGAGACTGGGGGATGCAGGGATGGATGCATAGGAAGGGGTCATGGCGGAGTTGTCAGTCAGGAATCACGGGGCTGCCTGTGTGCTACAGGTGCCAAAGAGACCTCTCTGCAAGCCACACTCCCCCTGGCATGATGTCATTGGGCCCCTCACCTCTCACTCCTATGTCTGTGGGGACGTTGTTCCCTGCTTCTCAGCTGGGACTCTGGGCCTGACACCCAGATTGTTTTGCTATGCTCAGACCCCCAGAAGCTCCTCCTGAACTTGACCTTAGAAACTTGAGCTAATACAGAAAATAGAATAACAATTAATAGTTATTCATTATTGAAGTATTTAATAGCCAGCAAGGCAGGGGCACCGGCCGATCGGAAGAGGCACATAACACAAGATTGGCATCTCGGGGCCCCCCTCCAGTGCCAGTCATTCACCTCCTTTTGCTGGTCCCCAGGGAGCTCCAAGGGTCATGGCAAACGAGGTGGGTATCTGGATTAGGGTGGGAGAATATTGAATACTCAGGGCCACTGAATATTCAATATTTTCATAATAGATACATTCACAATGGGGATACTGGCTGGATGTCAGCCTCATCGCAGCTTGCTTGGCTATCAATCCTGGCTGTTTTATGTATGTATATATTTTTTCCCAATGCACAGATAAACTTACGGAGAAAGAATTCATCGAGGGGACCCTGGCCAATAAGGAAATTCTGCGACTGATCCAGTTTGAGCCTCAAAAAGTGAAGGAAAAGATAAAGAATGCCTGATGCCTACTGTTCAGTTGTCCTCCCTCCACCCACCACTCACACGACACCCGTGAGCACGTGTGCATGCACACACATGCACACACCCACCCCAGGGCCAAGAGAAAGGCCTGCACACAAGCCCACAGCACAGCTCCCTGCCAAACTGAAGCATCTGTAGTGACCCACTGGTTCCTTCTTCCTGGGTCTTCAGCGTCCCTCCCATCATCCCCGGTCCCACCCCTCCCTCTGCCCACCAGCCCATGGGCCTGTGCTAATCCCAGGATTAGGCCATAGGAGTCCTAAGTGTCACCCCGCTGTAAGCTCCTTTGTGGAGTGCTGGGTAAGCAGTTTCCAATAAATGTAAGCTGAGCTGGGCACATGGCTGCTGGTCATCCTTCACCTGGAAAGGAAATGATTTCTGTCGGCCATACCTCAAAGACAAGGTTGTGTTGTGATGGCAGCCCTAGGCTGGGCTGCTCTGGTGCCGAATGAGCCTGACACAGTCCTGCTCTCGTGGATCTCACGGTCCAGAGGGGGCAATGGAGCTGGAAGGAGGCCGTGACCAGTGGCCCAGGTTACCATGGAAACGTGCAGAGCAGCAGGGGAGGACACAGTGAAAGGGGCTGACTGGTCAGGGGGGATCAGGGACCACATCCCTGACGAAGGGAGATTTACATTCAGACCCACTGCACACAAGGTGGGGGACGGGGTCGGGGTGGGGAAGTCTCAAACAGAAGGCGACCGACACAGAGCCGCTGAGGCACGAACGACCAGCTCAAGTTCCAGGAGAAGGTCAGGGTGGCTGGAGGGTAGGAGGAGGAGGGAGAGCAAAGTGTGAGCTGAGCCTAAAAGGTAGGTGGGGACTGGACCATGCAAAGCCCTCCCTGCAGCCCGTGGTAAGCACTTGGGGGCTCACCATGGGGGCGGCGGTGCCACTGTGGAGTTGGAAGTAGGAGGGTTTTATGTTTGTAAGAGAAGTCCCCAGCAGGCTAAAATAAGGCAGAGGGGAGCGATTGGGGGCTCCTTAGGGGCAGGAAGCCTGATGAATAAGCTTTTGCAGCCACCCAGATGGCCTGGGCCAGGGGAAAGGCAATGGGATGGAGAGGACCAGACCCAATAAAGATACATTTAGGAGGTAGCATCCACCTGGCTGGCTGAGCGGTGGGGAGGAGGGAGGGCAGTAATGGCAGCCAGGTCTGTAGCTGGGGCAGTGGGTGAATAGCAATGCCATCTATGGAGATGAGAAATTCAGGGAGCCTTTGAGGTTTCAGGGAACAATGACGAGTTCAGCTTCAATATAGTAAGAAGTGAAGGCAGAGCCGCAGATGGTCCTAAAGCCCCTTGTTTTAAAGACAAGGAAAAAGAGTCCCAGTGACAGGAAGGAGCTTGCCCAGGGGCGGCCAGCTGAGGTTCTGAGGTCAGGTCAGGGCTACCCACCAGCTCCCCACTGCCTCCTCAAAGCTCCAGGGCCTGGGATACCCAGGAACTCCATCAGTGGGTTCTCCAAGATCCCTGGGTTTGTTGCTTTGAAGGTCCATTTATTCTCCAGCCTCAAGTTCCAAGATGAGGTCAGAAAAATGCATGGATGCCCTGGATTCTTGACTGACCTGTCTGCAGCCTCTCGAGGCTGGGGAGTCTCCAGTTGCTGGTGTTGTGTTGATGCCTCCAGACCCTTTAGCCACAGAGATGACACAATCACCACTGCCAGAGAGCACTCCTCTGTGTGGAGAGCAAACATGAGAATAAACACTTACGAGCCATGCACCATGCTAGACTCTGCCGTCATTATTTCATTGATGGAGATGATGTTGTCTCCATAGTACGGATGATGATACTGAGGCCAGGAAGTGTGAGTAGGAGTTGGTACTTAAACTGCAGTCCTTCTGATTACACCAGGTTTCTCCAATAGTTTTGACCTGGACACAGCAGGATAGAGAACTCTAGGATAGCACAGTGTCAGACCTGGAAAGGGGAGGGAGGCTACAAGGCACGAGCCCAGAGGTTCCGGGAGGAGAAGGATTATTATTAGAATCATCTGCCCAAGACACTTCTCCCATGTAGACATAGTGGGCTATATATAGGAGCTTGTTCAGTGGGAGATAAAGGACCCTGTGGGTCCAGTCCAGAGTGTTCCAGGAATATAACCAAAGGGCTCAATGTCTTACTCCAATACTCTTTCCGCCACACTCCATGAATGAATCTGGTTGCTTGGAGGATGAGGCTGGGGCTTCTCACTTCTCTCTGAGGTCAGGCTATCATTGTCACTTGAGTCTAAAAGGACAGACACTACATAATCAGGTCCTTGCTGGTTTATGGTTCAATGAGAGACATAAAGGGGGCCCTGGAGCTTCCGGTGGCCAGTGGAGAACCAAAGAGTGAAAACCTAATTAGCAGCTCTGTTTTTTAGCTTAGGGCAGAAGGACCACTTGGGCTGGGATTCTGTACAGCTCTGTGACACTCTGTGGGAAATAAAGCATGAAGTTCAACTTGGCTGAAGGGAAGAGGAGGTGGAGATAGTGATGAGCTATGTCATCAAGACTCTTCCAGATGCAAAAGGTAGATGACCTGGCACAAATTGTTGTGGCACAAATAGAAATTGATGGGTTCTCATAACTGAAATTCTAGGAGTAGGGCTAGCTTCCAGTCTGGCTTAATCCAGGGGCTCCAAAGATGTCTCAGGGTTCATTTCTCCCTCTCCTGGTTCTGCTTTCTGCTGTCACCACCATTCTCAGATTCTTCTCATGCTGGCAGGATGGTCACTGGCAGATCCAGGTTGCCTTCTTCATGGTTCCAATTTCAGCAGAAAAGAGAAAATGCTTTTTCTTAAGAGTCCCAGCCAAAGTGTTAGGATTGCTTCTCACTGTTTCTGGTTAGTTATATGCCCAGCCTGGCTCAACATCTGATGCCAGAAGGATGTGCTGCTCTGCCTGGCCAGCAGATTTTTATGCCCATCCTTGAACTGAGGGTAGAGTCAGGACAACTCAAGTTCCATGGACTGACAGTAGGAGATGAGTGGTTTTTCCAAAAGGAAAACTGGGGTACTATAAAGATGGCAGATTCTAAAAATAGATGTCTACTATAGAGACCTTGGGGAAGTCATTTCCCATCTCTAGATCCCTGACTCCTCAAGTACATGTAAATTCAAGGGCAGAAATGGGTCTCATTAGGAACAATAATCCAAACTGCCCCAGTTTCTGTTGCCACCTGCCCACATAAGATCCCAGCCCCTTGTGCAGTGCCTCTACGGCATTTTTAGCATCTCCAGGAGGTGTCCCGCACAGATTCACCAATAGGTCCCTTAGTGCCAGGTGCCATTGCTGCCCCCAAGTACCACGTTCCTAATCATGGGTGAGGCCACAGTGCTCCTAATGTGCCCAAGCTGTGTGCTGATCTGCTGAGGAATCTTCTAGGTTAGCGTCCATCAGAACAGCCCCATGGGAAGTAGCATGTGTCATGGAAACAGCTTTTGTCATTGCCTCCTGGAAACAGCTCTTCTAGCTTTTGTCTGGAGCTTCTCTTCTCTCACCAGGCTCAGATTCTGACCATGGAGCCAGGTGGGATCAGCCAGCATGCTGTGTCCACCTCTATCCCCATTTCTGTCCCTTAATGGTCATATAAACTCATCAGACAAGCCCAGATATGTCTGTGTCTCAGGCTGTCAGGCTCCAGCTGGGATGACCACCCCTTAAAATAACCATGAAACTGGGCCAACCACACCTACATTGCCTATCACTTAAGAGTTGTGAGAGTCAGTTGAGTCTGTGCTTGTGGAAGAATTTCTGAGCTCTAAATGCTACATGGGAGAAAGGCTCAGTTTATTTGGACTTCAGCAAGGTATTGTCACTTTCCAAAGAAGGGTTCACCTCCCTCCCCTCTGCCTCAGCCAATATTCTCAACCTTGGTCCCGTATTAAAGTCACGCAGGTGGCGCTGACGCCAAAGCACGGGCAGCGAAAGAAAAAAAAATAGAAACATTGGACTTCATCAAAATTTAAAACTTCTCTACATAAAGGAGCACTATCAAGAGAGCGAAAAGACAATCTGCAGAATGAGAGAAAATATTTGCAAATAATATATCTGATAAGGTATCAATATCCAGAATGCATAAAGAATTCCTACAACTCAACAACAAAAACCAAACAATCCAATTGAAAAATGGGCTAAGAATTGAATAGACATTTTTCTAAACAAGACTTACAAAGAACTAACCAGCAAGCACATAAAAAGATGCTCAACATCATTAGTCTTTCCGGAAACTCAAATCAAAACCACAATGAGATACAATTTCACAGCCATTAGGAATGGTTTTCATAAAAAAAATGGAAAATAAATGTCGGCAAGGCCACGGAGCATTTGGAACCCTCATGCATTGCTGGTGGGAATATAAAATGGCACAGCTGTTGGGGAAAATATAGAATCACCATATGATTCAGTAGTTCCACTTGTAGGTATACTCAAATTTTAAAAGCAGAAACTAGATGTTTAAATATCCCTACCAACAGCAGCATTATTCACAACAGCCAAAACATGGAAACAATCCAAGTGTCCATCAATGGATGAACAAATAAACAAAATGTAGTATGCATGCAATATTATTCAGCATTAAAAAAAAAACGAAATTCTGACACACACTACAAGGTGGATGATCCTTGAGGGCATTATGGTGAGTGAAATAAGCTCATCACAAAAGGATACATTCTATACAGTTCCACTTACATCTGATGTATCTAGAATAAGCAAATTCACGGAGACAGAACGTAGAAGTTGCCAGGGGCTTGGGGAGGGAAGAATGGGAGGCTATTTTTTAATGGCTATAGAGTTTCAGTTCAGGAAGATGAAAGAGTCCTGGAGATGGATGGTGGTGACGGCTGCACAACAGTAAGAATGTACTTCATGCCACTGAACTGTATACTTAATAATGGCTGGCTGGGCGTGGTAGCTCATGCCTGTAATCCCAGCACTTTGGGAGGCCGAGGCAGGTGGATCACCTGAGGTCAGGAGTTCAAGACCAGACTGACCAATATGGTGAAACCCCGTCTCTACTAAAAATACAAAAATTAGCCGGGAATGGTGGCGTGCGCCTGTAGTGCCAGCTACTCGGGAGGCTGAAACAGAAGAATTGCCTGAACCTGGGAGGTGGAGGTTGCAATGAGCCCGAGATCATGCCACTGCACGCCAGCCTGGCAACAGAGCAAGACTCCGTCTCAAAAAACAAAAAGAAAAAAAAAATGGCGACAATGGTTACTTTTATGTTACATATATTTTGCCACAATTTTAAGAAGATCACTCAGGAACTTATAAAAATCCCAATGCGCAGGGCTATTAAGACCATTTCAATCAGAATCTCTGGGGTCAGACCCTGTCATTGGCCTTTTTAAAAAGCTTCCCAGGGGACTGAGCGCGGTGGCTTATGCTTGTAATCCCAGCACTTTGGGAGGCCGAGGCAGGTGATCACCTGAGGTCAGGAGTTCAAGACCAACCTGGCCAACATGGTGAAACCCCGTCTCTACTAAAAATAAAATAAAAAAAAATTAGCCAGGCATGGTGGCTCATGCTTGTAGTCCCAGCTACTCTGGAGGCTGAGGCATGAGAATTGCTTGAACCCAGGAGGCAGGGGTTGCAGTGAGCGGAGATCAAGCCACTGCACTCCAGCCTCGGAAACAGAGTGAGACTCGGTCTCAAATAAATAAATAAATAAATAAATAAAAATAAATAAAAAGCTTCCCAAGGAATTGTAATGCCAGGATTGAGAACCACTAGACTAGGTCTTCAAAGCAGCACACACGCTGAGGGACCAAGGGAGTGGTCTATAAAAGGAGAGACACTCTCCTTCCACTCTGACCTCTGCTTCTGGTCCCAGCGCCTCTGTCCACTCTTCTGGTCCCTAAGACCAAATTTAAGATATTGGAGCACTCAGGTCCCCGGCTAAACACCACAGCCCTTCTCCTCACTTCTGGCCAGGAATAGTGCATCACATTCTTCACAGGTGGGAGAGATCGTCAGCTCCAGTGAGAAACAAATGTAAAAGAATCAACAAAATGCAAATCAAATTAAATACACTTGTTTTAATCGTTAGCAGAACAAGAGCAAGCAGTTACGTGTTGATCACCCCATTCGTAGACTGAGGGGTGCAGGGAGTATTTATAAATGCTTTGAGAAAAAGTTTCTCCTCTTAGTGGTAAGGTCCTGGATCACTTACTCCCAGCAGCATCTGAGGCTCCCAAGAGCCATTTCTGTGCCGTCTCATTCCACGAATGTGTGTGGAGCACCTGCTCTGAACCGGCACTGTGCTGGGTACTTGCTGGGAATACGAGATGACCCCAGCTTTCTAGGAGCTAATTGGCTGATAAGCCAAGACAGGGACATTTGCAGACAGGAGAAAAGTAGACATTGATTTTCATGAATGAGCTATGGATAATCTGGACACCAAAAAATAAACCTTTGCTTCATTACTTGCCTGATGCCTTTGCCTCCATCCTCATCCTAAAATCGGGGCTGGACTATGAGTGACACAAGTGAGGCTCCCACTTCAAGTGCAAAATTTAAGGGGGTTCCAAAAGTCCCCATAGTCAATATAAATAATATTTTAATGCAATTGTTTAAAAATAAAAATTCACATTAGGCTGGGCGTGGTGGCTCACACCTGTAATCCCAGCACTTTGGGAGGCCGAGGCGGGCAGATCACGAGGTCAGGAGATGGAGACCATCCTGGCTAACACGGTGAAACTCCATATCTACTAAAAATACAAAAAATTAGCCAGGCGTGGTGGTGGGAGCCTGTAGTCCCAGCTACTCGGGAGGCTGAGGCAGGAGAATGGTGTGAACCCGGGAGGCGGAGCTGGCAGTGAGTTGAGAGTTCGGCCCATTGTCACTCCAGCCTGGGCGACAGAGCGAGACTCCGTCTCAAAAAAAAAAAAAAAAAAAAAAAAACCGGCCCTGATAGACATTTGAAAGTCAGGACCAGAGCCTGCACTTGCAGGAGCTGGGCCTCTCCTGCCTCACCCTTATCCTGTCCCTGGTTCCAATCAAATTTCATTTCTATAAATGGCTCATGGGTTGTAGTTTATTTTTTTTAGAATATTGCATTAAAATATGATTTATTTTTATCATTTACTTTGAGTTTTGTAGAGATGAGTGCCTTGATTATTTCACCCTAGTCCCAGCCCTGTGGCAAAGTATCCTTGAAAACAGAGTTGCCAGTGAAAGACAAGACGCATGATTAAATTCCAATCTCAGATAAAATATGCCCATGGGGTATTCAGTTAGGAAAAGAAGAAGTCAAATTGTCCCTGTTTGCAGATGACATGATTGTATATTTAGAAAACCCCATTGTCTCAGCCCAAAA